CCCACCAAGTCCTCATGCAGGGCTATATAAGCAGCAACCATGATCCTAATAAACGAGGGCTTTGACAAATCTGCTTGGCCTCCTTCTTCTGTCCTAGCTCATTCCCTTCCAGGTAGCGCCCCTCCGAGACCCTGGAATAACTAGCTGCAGGGTGGGTTACAACCCCTAGACTAGTGACCCACCCAAGGCAGCAACAGTGACAACCAGACTCACGCTTCTTTGTTTTTAAGTCTTCTTGGTGCCATTTCTAGTCTTGGGTGAGCCACACCCCTGTTTATGATTTATGGTTACTTCTATGCTAGTGATCTCATGGCATAGAAGTAAATTATGCAAGTTTTTGCCTGGTGTATGGGCTATCTCTGTAGGATGATTCAATTGAAGCAAAAGCTGGGTGGACGTCCTTTGTGTGTAGAACGTGGGCCTTCAGTTTAGTATTAACAGATTAAGTAAGTGGCTCTGGTTGCCTGGGGTCTAGGGCAAATGCAGACCCAAGCCTTGTGTTTGTTCTAGGACGCATCTCTCGGGGTCGACTGGCCAATCAGATCCCCTCTGAGATCCTGAACAACCCCCAGCTACAGACTGCTGTTCAAGCCCTGCCTTCTAACTACAACTTTGAGATCCCGAAGACCATCTGGAGGATCCAGCAAGCCCAGGCCAAGAAGGGTGAGGACCCAAAGGATGGAGCTGGGGTGAGGTTGGAGAGGTTGCCTGCTCAGACACAGCCATGTCCCCGTGTCCCATCTCTGGCCCTCTGCTTTCATGTCTTCTTTGTCTTGCAGTGGCCTTACAAATGCCAGAAGGCCTCCTCCTCTTTGCCTGCACCATTGTGGATATCTTGGAAAGGTAAGGCTTGGGCACTAGAGAGCCAGCTGAGTCTTTGCCCAATATAAGTAGGCCTGTTAGCCTAATTTTTCTCTGCTTGACCCCTGAGCCTCCGGCGAATATATACACACACAGGGGAAAACTCAACACAAAACTCCCTTGCCCTTTATAATCTGGACTAAGGCAAAGAAGTTAATTCTAGTTTCTAGGCCAGAGCAGGTGGTAGCATCTGGGAGGAACCTAAATGGGTGAGGGTCTGCTGTTAAGGGGAGCAGAGAGGAGGGGTAAGAGGTTGGGGAGTTTGGCTCAGTTTGGGTGGCAGAAGAGAGAGATGCCTAGGGAAAGGTATTCAGTTCCTCTCCCCCCCCCCTTCTAAGTTTCTTCATGACAATGAGCCATTGCTGGGGGGTGGGGGAACAGTGCTCAGCCATCTGGAGCCAGCAGGAGCACAGGGAAGGGACTGAAGAAAGGGGAGGTCATCTCGTGCTGAGAACCTCCCACTTCCCTGCTGCTGCCCCCACCCCTCTCCCTCCCTGCCACCACAGACCCACTTCCCTGCTCCCACCCTCTTGCCCCTTGGGGATGCTCTCTGGGGCTCAGGCCAATTTGCATACATTTTAATCTATAAAAAATTAAGTGCTCTGGCTGACTCAGAGCCTGGGCTGCATTCTAAGGAGCTGAATAATCTGCTTCTGTGCACAGCCTGATTTGGGGAAGGGGTGGAGGAGGGGGGGCAGATTGGCAGCCGGTTAGCTTCCCCCACTACACCCTAGAGGAAGACTGGGGGAACCCAGTCACAGAACCAGCATCTGTGCCCAGGTATGGGCTCCTCCTGGGAGAACTCAGCCTCCTGCTGCTCCAGCGGTGAGTTTAGGGTACAGGGTCTTTCCTACCCACCCTGCCCCCTTAGTGATTCAGGCCTGGCAACAGATCTCATAACAATGTGCTGTCCAGAGCCCACTCGTCCTGATGCATGAGGAGTGTGGGCAGCGCCATGTGCTGTGGGGGAGCTGTGCATGGGTCCTTCCCATCCCGGGCACCCATGGCCTTGCCTAAGGCTGGGGAGTTGGTGGGGTCTGGGCAGGGGGAGGCCGTTACATATCCCATATCCATGCATCCATGCCCACGCAGACAACAGCGCCAGTGCTTGTGAGGGAGGGTGGGGAGATCTTTTGTTGCCTGGGTATAATGAGTCAGAATCTGGGGGGTGGTCTGTGTTGGGCTCTGCGCACACACTTCTGTTGGGTAGGGGTCCTGCTTGCAGTCTAGGGCTGGGCAGGGTGCTGCAGACGTATCCTCACATAGCAACTGTTCCAGGAGCTGCTGCCAGGGCTGAGGGAGGTGGCAGCTGCACCCCTCCTACTCTTGGTTGGCAGCTGCCAACTCAAGGACTTGGAAGATGTGGGGAAAGAAGAGCTCGGTCCTGAGACACCTCCAGAGCTAGGACTGTCTCCAGACTCATTCTGTGTCACCATCCCATGGTTTCCTCAACCCCACCCCTACAGGTTCACAAAGGCTGAAGTGGTGGTGATGGGTGACGTGACCTACGGGGCTTGCTGTGTAGATGACTTTACTGCAAGGGCCTTGGGAGTCGACTTTCTGGTGCACTATGGCCACAGCTGTCTAGGTATGGTGAGCTGGGACACCAGAGTACTGGCAGGGAGGCAGGCTGCAGGGTAACCTTCTCTGTCATGTGCTCTTGTCCTGCTTGCAAGCCCAGAATCCTTTCTGGTTTCCAGGATGACTTCGGCCTTTCTGCTTTGCGGGTGGCTCTTTCCTCTGGATTTGGCTGCCTTGGAAATCATGCTGCTGTCTCACTGAGACAGTACTCAAACATGCTGTGCATGTTTCGTGTTTTTGTTTGTTTCTGTGAGACAGTCTCACTCTGTAGCTCAGGAAGGCCTGGAACCTAACAGCTGTCCTTCTGTTTTGGCCTCCCAGCTGCTAGGATTGCAGGTGTGCGTTGCCACACCTGGCAGATGCAGGTGTTTGAAAGGAAGGCTCTTGGTGGTAGAATAGGCTGGGTACCCAGCTAAGTGATGAGGAAGAGTTCTAGGAGACTGTGACCCACCCTTCTCTCCTAATCTCCCCCAAGCCGAAGCCACTGGGACTGGGCAAGGCTCCCTGCTCCTCCTGCCTTTTAGAACAGTGTTTTGAACTCTTCTCTGTAGTTCCCATGGATACATCAGTTCAAGATTTCCGTGTGTTGTATGTCTTTGTGGATATCCGGATAGATACTGCCCACCTTCTGGACTCTATCCGCATCACCTTTACCCCAGGCAGCTCCCTTGCTCTGGTCAGCACCATTCAGTTTGTGTCAACTCTGCAGGTAAGTTTGCCAGCATCCCATGGGGGTAGAGAGGGTACTCCAGGGTGCTCCTGGCTCCTGTGCCTGCTGCTCTGACCTCTTCCTCTGGCCCTGAATTTCTCCCAGTGACTTATTTCCCTTCCCTCATTGTCAATACAGGCAGCTGCACAGGAGCTGCAAGCTGATTATCATGTCAGTGTCCCACAGTGCAAGCCCCTGTCCCCTGGGGAGATCCTCGGCTGTACATCCCCTCGACTGCCCAAGGAAGTAGAAGCTGTTGTGTAAGTTAGAACCCACTCAGGGAAGGAGCCTCAGGCTCCTGATGCAGGAAAAGAGGCTGGGTCTAAAGCTCCTAACCTGTGCGCTCAAGGTCACCTTGCAAGGGGGATGGGCAGGTGGGGTCGACACTTGAGGTTTACCTGCACCTTCCTGGTGTTCCATCTTCCATCCAGACGGCTATGCCTAGGGTGGAGACGGAACTCAGATGGCCTGATGGGGGGATCTGGATGGGTAGAAGTGGAGGGAATATAATTGGAGAAGATGGATGGGCACGCCCAGGCTGCAGCCCCATTAATTTAGCATCCGGACAGCTAACAAGCAGGAGCAGCGTGTCTCCTGCCGCCTAATTATTTTAGGTAATGGAAATGCTTAATGTTGTGTGAATGCAGCCAGCCTCCGAGCAGACAGCTCCTCTGGTTCTGATTCTGGTTGGGGGGGAGTTCTTTCCTAGCTAATGGCAAGAGCGGTGGGTGGGGCACTGTGGCTCAGAACCACCCCTGAGAGCTTTGGGTGCTGGTCCCACAGGTTTTGCTACACCCGAATAGGATACTCTGCCTTTAGGCTCACTTATAGGCAGGCCTTCCGCAGGTCAGACCTGGCAGCCCTGTTCCCTGAGGGCCATTCCCCCAGTATATGTGCCAGCATAAAGGATGCCCATCATCTGGGGCTTCAAGATGTGAGGTGAGGGAGACACTCTTGAGTGCAGGCCTCAGAAGGATGTATGGTCTTCAAGAGAGAGACAGAGGGAGAGAGAAGGGGGGGCTGGAGAGATGGCTCAGAGGTTAAGAGCACCGACTGCTCTTCCAGAGGTCCTGAGTTCAATTCCCAGCAACCACATGGTGGCTCACAGCCATCTATAATGAGACCTGGTGCCCCCTTCTGGCTTGCAGGCACACGTGGAAGGAATGCTATACACATAATATAATAAATAAATAAATA